GTGGATTTTTTAAAAATTATTTTTTGAAAGAATCAACAAACGTGGATTTTTTAAAAATTATTTTTTGAAAGAATCAACAAACGTGGATTTTTTAAAAATTATTTTTTGAAAGAATCAACAAACGTGGATTTCTTAAAAATTATTTTTTGAAAGAATCAACAAACGAGGATTTTTTAAAAATAATTTTTGGAAAGAATAAACAAACGTGGATTTTTTAAAAATTATTTTCTGAAAGAATAAACAAACGTGGATTTTTTAAAAATTATTTTTTGAAAGAATAAACAAACGTGGATTTTTTAAAAATTATTTTTTGAAAGAATCAACAAACGTGGATTTTTTAAAAATTATTTTTTGAAAGAATCAACAAACGTGGATTTTTTAAAAATTATTTTTTGAAAGAATCAACAAACGTGGATTTTTTAAAAATTATTTTTTGAAAGAATCAACAAACGTGGATTTTTTAAAAATTATTTTTTGAAAGAATCAACAAACGTGGATTTTTTAAAAATTATTTTTTGAAAGAATCAACAAACGTGGATTTTTTAAAAATTATTTTTTGAAAGAATCAACAAACGTGGATTTTTTAAAAATTATTTTTTGAAAGAATCAACAAACGTGGATTTTTTAAAAATTATTTTTTGAAAGAATCAACAAACGTGGATTTTTTAAAAATTATTTTTTGAAAGAATCAACAAACGTGGATTTTTTAAAAATTATTTTTTGAAAGAATCAACAAACGTGGATTTTTTAAAAATTATTTTTTGAAAGAATCAACAAACGTGGATTTTTTAAAAATTATTTTTTGAAAGAATCAACAAACGTGGATTTTTTAAAAATTATTTTTTGAAAGAATCAACAAACGTGGATTTTTTAAAAATTATTTTTTGAAAGAATCAACAAACGTGGATTTTTTAAAAATTATTTTTTGAAAGAATCAACAAACGTGGATTTTTTAAAAATTATTTTTTGAAAGAATCAACAAACGTGGATTTTTTAAAAATTATTTTTTGAAAGAATCAACAAACGTGGATTTTTTAAAAATTATTTTTTGAAAGAATCAACAAACGTGGATTTTTTAAAAATTATTTTTTGAAAGAATCAACAAACGTGGATTTTTTAAAAATTATTTTTTGAAAGAATCAACAAACGTGGATTTTTTAAAAATTATTTTTTGAAAGAATCAACAAACGTGGATTTTTTAAAAATTATTTTTTGAAAGAATCAACAAACGTGGATTTTTTAAAAATTATTTTTGAAAGAATCAACAAACGTGGATTTTTTAAAAATTATTTTTTGAAAGAATCAACAAACGTGGATTTTTTAAAAATTATTTTTTGAAAGAATCAACAAACGTGGATTTTTTAAAAATTATTTTTTGAAAGAATCAACAAACGTGGATTTTTTAAAATTATTTTTTGAAAGAATCAACAAACGTGGATTTTTTAAAAATTATTTTTTGAAAGAATCAACAAACGTGGATTTTTTAAAAATTATTTTTTGAAAGAATCAACAAACGTGGATTTTTTAAAAATTATTTTTTGAAAGAATCAACAAACGTGGATTTTTTAAAAATTATTTTTTGAAAGAATCAACAAACGTGGATTTTTTAAAAATTATTTTTTGAAAGAATCAACAAACGTGGATTTTTTAAAAATTATTTTTTGAAAGAATCAACAAACGTGGATTTTTTAAAAATTATTTTTTGAAAGAATCAACAAACGTGGATTTTTTAAAAATTATTTTTTGAAAGAATCAACAAACGTGGATTTTTTAAAAATTATTTTTTGAAAGAATCAACAAACGTGGATTTTTTAAAAATTATTTTTTGAAAGAATCAACAAACGTGGATTTTTTAAAAATTATTTTTTGAAAGAATCAACAAACGTGGATTTTTTAAAAATTATTTTTTGAAAGAATCAACAAACGTGGATTTTTTAAAAATTATTTTTTGAAAGAATCAACAAACGTGGATTTTTTAAAAATTATTTTTTGAAAGAATCAACAAACGTGGATTTTTTAAAAATTATTTTTTGAAAGAATCAACAAACGTGGATTTTTTAAAAATTATTTTTTGAAAGAATCAACAAACGTGGATTTTTTAAAAATTATTTTTTGAAAGAATCAACAAACGTGGATTTTTTAAAAATTATTTTTTGAAAGAATCAACAATCGTGGATTTTTTAAAAATTATTTTTTGAAAGAATCAACAAACGTGGATTTTTTAAAAATTATTTTTTGAAAGAATCAACAAACGTGGATTTTTTAAAAATTATTTTTTGAAAGAATCAACAAACGTGGATTTTTTAAAAATTATTTTTTGAAAGAATCAACAAACGTGGATTTTTTAAAAATTATTTTTTGAAAGAATCAACAAACGTGGATTTTTTAAAAATTATTTTTTGAAAGAATCAACAAACGTGGATTTTTTAAAAATTATTTTTTGAAAGAATCAACAAACGTGGATTTTTTAAAAATTATTTTTTGAAAGAATCAACAAACGTGGATTTTTTAAAAATTATTTTTTGAAAGAATAAACAAACGTGGATTTTTTAAAAATTATTTTTTGAAAGAATAAACAAACGTGGATTTTTTAAAAATTATTTTTTGAAAGAATAAACAAACGTGGATTTTTTAAAAATTATTTTTTGAAAGAATAAACAAACGTGGATTTTTTAAAAATTATTTTTTGAAAGAATAAACAAACGTGGATTTTTTAAAAATTATTTTTTGAAATAATTAATTCCATGGAAAAATAATTTTTTAAAAATTATTTTTTGAAAAAATTTACAAAATTTACATTCCTCGTACCTAAATATTATAGCCATTTTGTATAAAGATGGAATAGATCAGACCACTCCTTCTGGTACCTCCCCCACAAAGGGTTTACAATTTTGAATAACCAAAACACTTATAGAATGCAAAATATGTATCCGATTCTGTTCACATTTACCACATCCTATTATTTCCACTAACACAATATCTGGTATAAAGTTGAGATATTGCAGGCCACTCGTTCTGGTACCTCCCCCACAAAGAGGATTAAATTTTGAATAACCAAAACGCTTATAAAATCCGAAATAAGCTTCCGATTCTCTTCAAATCTCACACATCCAAATATTTCAGCTAACACAATAGCTGATATGAATTTGCGATATATCGGACCACTCCTTCTGCTACCTCCCCCACAAAGGAGATCAAATTTTGAATAACCGAAACGCTCATAAAATAGGAAATAAGTATCCGATTCTGTTCAAATCTCACACATCTTGTTATTTCAACTAACATAATAGCTGGTATGAATTTGATATAAACCGGACCACGCCTTCTGGTACCTCTCCCACAAAGAGGTTAAAATTATGAATATTCAAAACGCTTATAAAATACGAAATAAGCGTCCGATTCTCTTCAAATCTCACACATCCAAATATTTCAGCTAACACAATAGCTGATATGAATTTGATATAAATCGGACCACGCCTTCTGGTACCTCTCCCACAAAGAGGTCAAATTTTGAATAACCAAAACGATTATAAACTACGAAATAAGCTTCCGATTCTCTCCAAATCTCACACATCCAAATATTTCAGCTAACACAATAGGTAGTATAAATTTGCGATATATCGGACCACTCCTTCTGGTACCTCCCCCACAAAGGAGATCAAATTTTGAATAACCAAAAACGCTTAAAAAATCCGAAACAAGCATCCAATTCTCTTCAAATCCCACACATCCAAATATTTCAGCTAACACAATAGCTGGTATGAATTTGATATAAATCGGACCACGCCTTGTGGTACCTGCCCCACAAAGGAGATCAAATGTTGGATAACCAAAAACGCTTAAAAAATACGAAATAAGGTTCCGATTCTCTTCAAAACTCACACGTCTAAATATTTCAGCTAACACAATAGCTGGTATGAAATTGATATATATCTGACCACGCCTTCTGGTACCTCCCCCACAAAGGAGATCAAATTTTGAATAACCAAAAACGCTTAAAAAATCCGAAACAAGCATCCAATTCTCTTCAAATCTCACACATCCAAATGTTTCAGCTAACACAATAGCTGATATGAATTTGATATATATCGGACCACTCCTTCTGGTACCTCCCCCACAAAGGAGATCAAATTTTTAATAACCAAAAACGCTTAAAAAATACGAAATAAGCTTCCGATTCTCTTCAAATCTCACACATCCAAATGTTTCAGCTAACACAATAGCTGGTATGAATTTGATATATATATCGGACCACTGCTTCTGGTACCTCCCCCACAAAGGAGATCAAATTTTGAATAACCAAAAACGCTTAAATAATACGAAATAAGCTTCCGATTCTCTTCAAATCTCACACATCCAAATGTTTCAGCTAATACAATAGCTGATATAAAATTGATATATATCGGGCAACGCCTTCTGGTACCTCTCCCACAAAGGAGATTAAATTTTGAAAGACCAAAACGCTTATAAACTACGAAATCAGCTTCCGATTCTCTTCAAATCTCACACATCCAAATATTTCAGCTAACACAATAGCTGATATGAATTTGATATATATCGGACAACGCCTTCTGGTACCTCCCCCACAAAGGAGATCATATTTTGAATAACCAAAAACGCTTAAAAAATACGAAATAAGCTTCCGATTCTCTCCAAATATCACACATCCAAATATTTCAGCTAACACAATAGCTGATATGAATTTGATATATATCGGACAACGCCTTCTGGTACCTCCCCCACAAAGCATGACAATTTTCGATAATTATATTCCTCAAGATTCCTTTCAAACTTGGTATGTCCACGTATTTCTCTCAAACTGATATCCGGAATAAATTTCGAAAATTATTATTTTTAATATTCATGTCTTTTTTATTTTTTTTTTTTTATTTATAGTTTAAAAAAAATATTTCTTTTTTAAATACAAATTAGATATTTATTTATTATTTTTTTATTTTATTTTTTTTATTTTTTTTTAAATGAACTTAAATTTAAAAATAAAATTGTGTATATATAAATTCCAAAAAAATATATATATTTTTCTAAAATTATTTATAATTCCTAAAACCATTTGGCAATAAATTATAGATAGAGGTACACAGCACATTGTCGCCACTTTGATTTTCCAATGGCTGCTGGGGTCCAGAATTTTCCACAGCTTTGGTCACATAGATGGGCATGTCTTCGGCCGAAAATTCCATAATAAATTGCCGGCACACGCCACACGGCGTGGTGAAGGCATCCTCCTGATAGGCCACCACAGCGCCGGCCACAAATTCACGAAAGCCCTCACTTACCGCTTTGCAGATGGCCGTGCGCTCGGCACACGAACAGGGGGTAAAGGCGGCATTCTCAACATTACAGCCGGTAAAAATACGGCCACACTTTGTGCGAAAAGCGGCACCCACTTTAAAGTTGCTATAGGGTACATAGGCATTTTGGCGGACCTGGTTGGCACATCTGAGCAGCTCTTTGGAATCATCATCTGGGGGGGAGGTTTGCAATATCACAATTTGTTAATTAATAATTTTCTTTTTAATAATTTTTTTAACATTTTGTCATTCATTATTTTTTTTTTTAATTTTTTAGGAAAGCTTGAATCTGCCACCTACCCAAATCCTGATATAATTTAATGGTTTCGGGTATATTGGCCTTTTTCAGGCCCGTCACTTTGGTTGTGTCCACAATATCCATGACCTTGAATTTATATGTTTCTTTAAAATATTTCTTTTCTTTTTTCGGCAAAAATTCTTTTTCAAATGGTTCTGCTAATATTTAGCTAGTGTCTTATTTACGTTTGTTTTCGTTTCGCTTGTTTTTTTTCTGCTATTGCGTTTTGTGCGCGCGTGACCACCTCGTCGAATGTCACCTAACTAATGGACTTAATTTGTGTTCGGTCGTTAACACGAAAGCCAACATTTCCAATTGAACAGAGGCAAAAATCTCCCTATTTATCACACAAAACAATGTCAGTCAGCCAGTCAGTCACTCACCACAACAATACCACATAATAGAGGCCCTTTTCTACTCTTCAAAAAAAAAACGTTTTCTCAAGTTATTGTTGTTGTGTTGCCTATTATGAATTTTTTATACCCTCCACCATAGTATGGAGGGTATATTAAGTTTGTCATTCCGTTTGTAACACCTCGAAATATAAATTTTAGACCCCAAAATGTCCGTCCGTCTATCCGTCTGTGGAAATCACTAAAAATAAAAAATTTACATTTGTGAATTCCTTGAAAAAATAATTTTTAAAAATTCCACGTTTGTGGATTCTTTGAAAAAATAATTTTAAAAAAATCCACGTTTGTGGATTCTTTAAAAAAATAATTTTAAAAAAATCCACGTTTGTGGATTCTTTGAAAAAATAATTTTAAAAAAATCCACGTTTGTGGATTCTTTGAAAAAATAATTTAAAAAAAATCCACGTTTGTGGATTCTTTGAAAAAATAATTTTAAAAAAATCCACGTTTGTTGATTCTTTGAAAAAATAATTTTTAAAAAATCCACGTTTGTGGGTTCTTTGAAAAAATAATTTAAAAAAAAATCCACGTTTGTCAAAGACTTGAAAAAATAATTTTTAAAAAAATCCACGTTTGTCAAAGACTTGAAAAAATAATTTTTAAAAAAATCCACGTTTGTCAAAGACTTGAAAAAATAATTTTTAAAAAAATCCACGTTTGTCAAAGACTTGAAAAAATAATTTTTAAAAAAATCCACGTTTGTCAAAGATTTGAAAAAATAATTTTTAAAAAAACCATGTTTCTCAAAGACTTGAAAAAATAATTTTTAAAAAATCCATGTTTGTCAAAGACTTGAAGAAATAATTTTTAAAAAAATCCACGTTTGTCAAAGACTTGAAAAAATAATTTTTAAAAAAATCCACTTTTGTCCAAGACTTAAAAAAATAATTTTTAAAAAATCCACGTTTGTCAAAGACTTGAAAAAATAATTTTTAAAAAATCCACACTTGTGAATTTCTTGAAAAAATAATTTTTAAAAAAACCATGTTTCTCAAAGACTTGAAAAAATAATTTTTAAAAAAACCATGTTTCTCAAAGACTTGAAAAAATAATTTTTAAAAAATCCATGTTTGTCAAAGACTTGATAAAATATTTTTTAAAAAATCCACGTTTGTCAAAGACTTGAAAAAATAATTTTTAAAAAAATCCACGTTTGTCAAAGACCTGAAAAAATAATTTTTAAAAAAATCCACGTTTGTCAAAGACTTGAAAAAATAATTTTTAAAAAAATCCACGTTTGTCAAAGACTTGAAAAAATAATTTTTAAAAAAATCCACGTTTGTCAAAGACATGAAAAAATAATTTTTAAAAAATCCACGTTTGTCAAAGACATGGAAAAATAATTTTTAAAAAAATCTACGTTTGTCAAAGACTTGAAAAAATAATTATTAAAAAATATTGCCTATTATGAATTTTTTATACCCTCCACCATAGTATGGAGGGTATATTAAGTTTATCATTCCGTTTGTAACACCTCGAAATATATACATTTTAGACCCCAAAATGTCCGTCCGTCTATCCGTCTGTCCGTCTGTGGAAATCACTCTAGCTTCCGAACGAAATGAAGTAAGTTTTGAAATAAGATTTTAACAAGAATTTTTAATGGATTTGAATTTTTTGAAAATTGCCAAAAATTGTACCAAATGGCGGAGGGTATTCAAAGTTCGGTGCGGCCGAACTATCAGCTTTTTTACTTGTTTTGCACTGGCTCCCCTACATGCAGCCACATTTGTTTCTCCCTCAGTGGGTTGTTGATCGGTGGTGCTTTTATCTTCACAAAAATAGATTCAAACAACCACCGATGTGACGAGAGCATAAGCATGAGAACAGCACAAAAATGAGTCTCTCAACATCTCCTCAACCCCATATATCTCACACACGCAAGCTGTTCCATAAAAAACGAAACAAGAACAAAACATAAACACCGACCAATCAACCACCCACTTTATATGAGGAGAAAGTTCTTTCTTTTGCCCTGTTTCTCCCTCTCTCTCTCTCTTGAATTGTTATAACAACATAGAGCATAGATGGCATCTATGTCATAGAGCACCTTTAGCGGTGAGTAATAGCCATTATGCTCACCGAGCATAAAACCCCCCGTCCAAAAGAGATGTCTCTTCCAAATGATGTTTTCGTTGGTTTATTTTATTAACAACCACCTTCGTTTGTTTTTCTACGATCACCACCACCACCATCGTCGTCAAAGACGTCATCATCATCTGTGTACCGTGGATGGGTGGGTGAATGGTTGTTGCTGATATTATTCTTGTTATTCTTATAACATGAGAATTAGGGTGGCCATGTTAGAGCCAGATGGCGTTTGAGTGACAGAAATAATAAGGGGGTTTAAATTAGGAAAATTCTTTTTTATTCCATGGAAAAATAATATTACATTTTTTAAAAATCCATGTTCGTTAATTACATGGAAACAGAATTTTTAAAAAAATCAAGATTTGTTGCTACTTTGATAAAATAAATTTTAAGAGATCTACGTTTGTGGCTTCCCTAATAAAATATTTTTTTAAAAATCCACGTTTGTCAAAGACTTGAAAAAATAATTTTTAAAAAATCCTCGTTCGTCACAGACTTGAAAAAATAATTTTTAAAAAATCTACGTTTATCAAAGACATGAAAAAATAATTTTAAAAAAATCCACGTTTGTCAAAGACTTGAAAAAATACTTTTAAAAAAATCCACGTTTGTCAAAGACTTGAAAAAATAATTTTTAAAAAATCCAAGTTTGTCAAAGACTTGAAAAAATAATTTTTAAAAAATCCTCATTTATCAAAGACTTGAAAAAATAATTTTTAAAAAATCCACGTTTATCAAAGACTTGAAAAAATAATTTTTAAAAAATCCACGTTTGTCAAGGAATTGAAAAAAAAATTTAAAATATCCACGTTTGTCAAAGATTTGACAAAATAATTTTTAAAAATTCCTCATTTATCAAAGACAAAGACCAAGAAGAAAAAATTATTTTTAAAAAATCCACGTTTGGCAAAGACTTGAAAAAATCGTTTTTAAAAAATCCACGTTTGTCGAAGACTTGAAAAAATAATTTTTAAAAAATCCGCGTTTGTCAAAGATTTAAAAAATAATTTTTAAAAAATCCACGTTTGTCAAAGCCTTAAAAAAATAATTTTTAAAAAATCAACGTTTGTGAATTCTTTGAAACAATAATTTTTAAAAAATTCACGTTTGTGGCTTCCCTAATAAAATAATTTTTAAAAAATTCACGTTTGTGGCTTCCCTAATAAAATAATTTTTAAAAAATTCACGTTTGTGGCTTCCCTAATAAAATAATTTTTAAAAAATCTACGTTTGCCAAAGACTTGAAAAAATATTTTTAAAAAAATCCTCGTTTGTCAAGGAATTGAAAAAATAATTTTTAAAAAATCCTCATTTGTCAAAGACTTGAAAAAATAATTTTTAAAAAACCCACGTTTGTCAAAGACTTGAAAAAATAATTTTTAAAAAATCCACGTTTGTCAAAGACTTGAAAAAATAATTTTTTTAAAATCCACGTTTGTCAAGGTCTTGAAAAAATCATTTTTAAAAAATCCACGTTTGTCATGGAAGTGAAAAAATAATTTAAAAAAAAATCCACGTTTGTCAAAGACTTGAAAAAATAATTTTTAAAAAATCCAAGTTTGTCAAAGACTTGAAAAATAATTCTTTCGTTGATTTTTTGAAAAAATAATTTTTATAAAATCCTTGTCTGTCAATTCCATGGAAAAATAATTTTTAAAAAATCTACATTTGTTAATTCCATGGAAAAATATTTTTTTCAAAATTCCTCATTTGTGGGTGCTTTAAAAAAATAATTCTTAAAAAAATCCATGTTTATGGGTTTTTTGAAAAAGTAATTTTCTAAAATCCACGTTAGTTGCTGCTTTGAAAAAATAATTTTTAAAAAATCCACTTCTGTAAATTCTTTTAAATCCCATTTTTATTCTATGTTTCATTTTAATTCCCCCACCGCAAAAATTAATCTCATCTAATTAAATTCCGTTTTCTTCTCTTCTCCTCTCTTTCCAGGTAATTATCGCCACAACTTTCACCGAAAGCCACTTTTTGTTTTGGGAGCTAATTGGATTACGGTTTAACACTAAAAAGCTGCATAAATCTTGTTGGTGGTGTTTGTTTTATTTTTGTATTAAACGGTTCTGCATAGAACGAATATTTTGTGGAATTTAATCGACATCGTCATCATCATCGCCAGCATCTAACTGTAAATATGCATTAGAACCAGTACCAACCACACCACACCCATTGTATAATTAAGAGTAGCTAACCCAACAAGCCGGACAATTCTTAGAGCTAGCAGTATTATCAATCTCCTAACGGCTGAAACCTCCTTCCCTCGCTTCCCTACTACTGTTATAATTTGCATTTTGTTTTGCCATTTCCATATTTTTCGCTTGTTGCCTTCCTTGCAAATTTTTTAATAAAAAATTGTTACTCTGCTCGAAATTGACTACTTGTCACCTGTCAATAAGCTAATCTCAAAACCCACCACACCACCCCTCCCGTAAACGGTAGCCATTACAGTGAAATAATTTAGATTTTATTTTTATTTTTTCCTAGAAAAAATATATTCAAATCAAATATTCCGAAACAAATTTCTCTGTCGATGGACGGAAATTAAAAATGTTTTCTCTGACTGTTGTCAGTGGTTAGCTGTTGTTGCTGGGATTTAGTTATCCGGTTGACTATGTGGTTGGGATATTGATGATGGCTGGTCTATTGTTTTTGGGCCAAAACAATGACAAATTTCTATCTTCTGTGTGCGTATCTGCTGCCATCCATCCATCCATCCATCCATAAATGAGAAAAAAATTGGAAAAAATTCATTTCCTCTAATGTTGATA